CGTAAAAGGCTATACTGTAGAACATGACACCACAGTTGTGTTCCTTCCTCTCCACACAGATTCATAGGAAGAGGTTTGCCTCTAAGTTTATAAATTTTGTTACTCAGAGACTTCCTTTGATCAGTTTTTATTATCTTTTTATTTAGGACCCTAGAGGTTTGTGGCACCAGCCCTAGACCTTTTTCCTGAAGAGATCCACACATTAGTTTCTTGGGAGCCCAATAGACAGAGAAGCCCCTGGTTCCGCTTTCCACAGCCTTTATTCTTCTTTACTTGTTTTAGATAACATGTTGTCACTTTCAGATGATCCCTTGTCAAGACATGGTGACTGCCTTGGCACCTGAAAGGTGGGAGAAAGAAAGAAGCCCTGCGAAGGGCAGCTGTGTCTTGTCTCAGTCCTTATGGCACAGGCTGTGTATTCACTGAGAGCCTGGGTGACAGAGCGTGCTGCCTTTGCACCCCCACACATGTGTGGGAGCGTGGGTATTACCTGTGTGCTCATGTGTGATATTTGTGGATGACAGCAGTGCTGACTTCCTGGATTTTTATTCTCTTACTCAGCTTCACAGATCCTGGAGTTTTTGGTAACACTGGAGAAATGAGTCTACACCACTTCCTTAGTAATCCTTTCCCTAGATGATCCTCACATGTAAATTGCAAATGAATGTCCTTTGATTAAGGTTCACTTATTTCTGGTCTTAGCACTTTGTGATTAGAGAACACGCCCCTCTGCCATTTCTGTTTCATAAAATGTACTGAGATTTTTCGTTGTCGCCTAAAATAGGCTGGGTTTTGAGTGGACATTTCAAGTGTGGTAAGATCTGTTCACTGTACTGGTGGGTAGAGTTTGCTGTGTTGTCCCTGGCATCCACTCTGGGCCACAGCACTCTCATTTGCTTGTTATTGATTCCTGGTTATGGTAGTAGCCTGGGGCAATGGGTGATATATTGATACTTGCTGTGACCCCCGTTTTAACTTCTTTTCTCAGCAACTGCAGTTCTGCTTCATAAAGCTGACTTGGAGTTGCCCAGTTCCTGTGCACTCAGCATGCACAACTTTACTGTGAGTTGAGTTCTTCAGTGAGGAAGTGCCTGCTGGACCTCACTTAAGCCTGGAGCCTACACTATGGCCCTGTCTCTGACCTGGGCCTCAGCCTAGTGGGGTTTTGCCTACTCCTCCTAATTAGCTTCCCTTAGTCCTGACAGTCTTCGTGTCTCCTGTATAGAGCCAAGCTGCCGCTGACTCAGCCTGGAACTTTGACTAGGTGGTGAGGCCCATTTACATCTCTTCCTGTGCTGATGTAATTGAGGGGCTATCTCCCAGCCCTGAGGACTCATCCTGTACTCAGGGTGCACACTATGTCCTTTTCATTGAGTATCTTTTTTTAAATATTTTTTATTATTTTTATTTTTTGTGTATGAGTGTATTGCCTGCATGTATGTGAGTGTACCTGTGTCGTACAGTGCCCCAGAAGTCAGAAGAGAGCTTCAGATTCCCTGGATCTGGAGTTAAGGACGGTTCATAGCTGCCATGTGGGTTCTGGGAATCGAACCTGGGTCCTCTGCAAGAGCAGTCAATGCTCTTAACTGCTGAGCCATCTCTCCAGCCCCCCATTGAGTATCTTTTAAGAAGTGGTTTGCTGTTTGTATTTTCTCCTCTTTTTAGAAACGTTTTGGCTGTTAAGGTTTGTGTGTTTGTTCTCTTGGTTACTTTTCATTTGCCCCTGAGCATGTCTCAGAAATGGATTCTAGGGCTCTATATTATTAGTTCCTTTTCTGTTGTTGTGACAAGACATCATGGCCAAGGGAGCTTATAGAAGAAAGAGTTTATTTGGCTTACAGTTCAGAGAGTTTAGAGTCCATAATGCTGGGGAAGGCATGGAGGAAGAGATGACCAGAGCAGAAAGCCAAGTGATCACATCTTCAAGCCGGCACTGGAAGCAGGGCAAAACTGGAAATCCAGGAAGGCTTAAGAACTCACAAAGCCCGCCCCCAGTTATGTGCTTCCTCCAGCATGGCCACACCTCCTAAAGGTTCCATGACCCTCCCCAAACAGTACCACAAACTGGGGCCCAAGTGTCCAAATACTTGGAACCTATGGAGGACATTTTCATTCAAACCACCAGAGGCCCCCATGTGGGCACCAAAGTTCTCAGATGTGAAAGTGGCATAGTGTCTGCATATCACCACCACATCCACCATATATGTTAAATCATCGCTGAATTACTTACAATGCCCAGTACACTATAAATAGGTATACCATATTATTTAGGGAATGGTCATGAGAAAAAATATGCATTTTCAGTACACACACACAGTTTTTCTCCTGAGTATTTTCAATTCATGATTGGTGGATCTACAGATTGTGAACCTACAGATTTGGCAGACCAGCTGTGTTACCTTTCTTGGTGTCTTAATCCCTATGATTATTCCTTTAACCTTTCCACATGCTCTGCCAGCTTTAGGTAGTGTTCTTACCTCCACCTGTTTGTGTACCAAAGTCTGTTCTCTTACTCTGCCTTGCCTTTTCTCTGATTCTTCAGTCTCCTGCTTGTTTATCACATTTGCCTCAGAGTACAACCCCCTCTAATCGTGTCCATATTTCTCCTCCATTCTTGTCTTTTGGTGTTTATTTCTGGCTGTGCTATCTCACTCTGTCTGTTGACTTGAGCTTGTCCTGAGGACTTCTCATGAAGCATGGGCAAACACAGTGCTGGTGACTACTTGGATGTTAGAAGCTCTGATTTTGAAGGCCCATTGGACTGGCAGAAAGCCCTATGGTTAGTTTGTTTCTGCTGGGGTCTGGGAAGGCACTGCCTCATGCTGTCTATGCTATGAAAAGAGTCTGATGCTTCACGCCTGTGCAGAGTGAACTGTTCCTTTTGCCTGGAGTCCCAGGGAATCTTTTCCCTGTCTCAGTGTTGCCATCCTGGGTTAGTGTGCTGAGGTGCATGAAGAGCACTTTCAACTTGTCTTTCACCTAATAACATTCATGTTTTTTTAATTTTTATTTTATATGTATATTACCTGCATATGTGTAAGTGCACCCATGTCACGTAATGCCTGTGGCAGTTACAAGAGGGTGTCAGATCCCCTGGAACTGGAACTGGAGTTACAGACAGTTGTAAGCAGCCATGTGGGTACTGGGAACCCAACCTGGGTCCTCTGCAAGTGCAGCAAGTACTCCTAACTGCTGAACCATCTCTCCAGCCCAACATTCATATTTTTAAGATGTATTTTTAATTATGTGTATGTGTTTGTGACTGTATGAATGTCTGCCACATGTGGGCAGAGGCCAGAAGAGGGTGTTGGACCCCCTGGAGCTGGAATTAGAAGTAGTTATGAGCTACCTGATACAGGTACCAGAAACCAAACTTGGGTCCTCTGGAAGAGCAGCAATCACTCTTGAACCCCGCTGAGCCTGCTCTTCTACAACATTCATAGTTTTGATTTTCTTTCTGAGGAACTCCACTTTATTTATTGCTTGTTCTCTGTGTTGCTTAGTTTTTCTTTGGTCATTTCACCTTGCTTCGTCTCATTTTCTCTAAATGCTTCGCATCTTCCCTGGGACACTCGATTGGGCTGATTCTCCTTTGTCCCTTGCTTCAGGTGTTGTTCCTAGGCTGATTTTGCCATTTAATATCCTTCAGAATCTATTCTTATCGCACAACCTCATGTGCATACATGTGGAGGGCAGAGATTGACATTAGATATCTTTCTCAATTGCTCTCCACCTGATTTTTTGAGAAAGGGTTTCTCATTGAACCTAGAGTTTACCAATTTTGCTAGACTAGCTAGCTGGCCAACAAGCCTCAGAAATCCTCCTGTCTCTGCCTCCCCAGCTCCAGGATTATGGGTACATGACATGGTGCCTTGCTTTTTATGTGGGTGCTTGGGGTTGAACTCATGTCTTCATGCTTGTGAAGCAAGTACTTTACCAAATGAGCCATCTCCTTAGCCCCTTGTTTAAGTATTAAAGTATTAATTAAAGTATTAAGCATTTAAGTATTAACTCATGTACTGTGGGTGTATCCCAGTGACCTTGGTATATCCCACACATTGACTTCAGGACCCATCTCCACACTGGCTCTCAGAGCTCTGTGCTGCATTTGTGCAGCAGACTTCCCAGGTATAAGCCCTGGAAGGGATGGGGTAGATTCTTGGTTGGCATGGAATCTCTTAGCACTGGTGTTTTCTCCCACTTTGCTTGGAACTTTATGCTATGGATGAATAACAGCTGCTGAAGACAACCTCCGATGGCTGACATGTCCAGCTCTGGGAGAAGCAAAGGCACAGCCTAGGTTGTGATTATGTTTGATGCATTAGTCTCACATTTCCAAGTATTACATACTGTGGTAAGGGAGCCTTTTAAAATGTCTCCAGTTATTTATGAGGCCATGAATATGTACCCATAGAATATAGTAACAGACATCCAGGAGGATATTGGTGTGAAGTGAATGCTTGTAACTAAGAATCAATCTCTAGTGTTGGTACCAAACCTGAATTTAGAAAGTAAAAAGTGAAAAACATAGGCTGAGGTGATTGTGAGGCCCACTGAGAGAAGACTCAGATGATGCAGAACCTGGCTCCAGGAGCCAGATTGCAAGCTGAAGTTGAAGAGATTAGATGAGATTGTATTCACTGACCATGAACCTAGAAAACCAGCACTATACTTAAATTACTGTGCAATTTAATAACTCTTATTTAAAATTTATATGATAAATATTATAAGATTAATTTTTATGGCTCCCCCAAAACTCTCCTCTGGGGTGCCCATTATGAAGTCATACCTTCCTAGTGCAACCTTACCTTCTTTGGGCTGGTCGGTAGCATCCCCAAGGTCAGCTCTGCTGGCACACATCTCCTGCCCTCATAGACCTTAGACTTAAACATTGCAGAAGTGTTTACTTCACTGTTGAATGTGAGTAGACTTCCAAGGCCCCGGCCTAAGGACAAGGCCTTGGAGCTGGGTGATCACATGCCCCTATGTTTCTGTTTCAGGTAGGTGGGCTCCAGATACTCCAACCCTGCCAGAGAGCCCCAGTTCTGGTGATGGTGCTCTGAACCACAGTGCACCTCAGTATTCACATCTATGGACCTGCTTTGAACCATAGAGCTTGCCTATGGGGGAAGGTGAGTTATCCTAAAGTCCCTTCTACCTGCTTGTTTGTTTGCCAAGGACAGTGGTAGCAAAGCCAGGCTCATTTTTAAGTGACACACATGTTGGAAGTGCTACTGCCTTGTGTTCTACCCTGCTCCATTCTGCCAGGGACCCTGAGGTTCTGCCGTGCATACTTTATAGAGAAGTGAGGACTTCTGGCAGCTGTGAGCCTGTTGCATTTGGATACCCACAGGGGCACTCTACCCCAGAGAGTCTGCCTACACAGGCATGCACCTCTCTCCTGGACTTGGGCTGGAGAACCAGAAATCAAGAGTGAAATACAGAGTTAGGGAATGGAAAACAGAAGGCTGTGCTAGAGCACTCACAGAAGCCATGAGTATGTACCCACTGATGGATGCATGGGGTGCTTTTTTATTCTTAAGTATTTGCTGTTTTCTGATACTGTGGTAAGTAGAATTATTTAATTTCTCTTTCAATTGTTCATTGTTGGCCACAATTCTTTCTGATTATATGGATAGTAGAAAGGACAGGTGCCATCTGACTGGGCACATGGTGGGTAGAGGGAGCTTTCTAGCCTTCACTAGAGCCTTGGATGAATTCAAAGTTTTGAAAGCAAATGACAGCAGGAGAGGAAGGAAGCAACCAGGGCACAAAGGTTACCTTCTCTTTTCCTTCAAAGCCTTCTTCCCAGGTTCATTGCAGTCCAGACCTGCATGTTGGCCCTGAAGCCTGATGGAAGCTCCTCAAGAAGGGTTAGAAAAGGCCTTCACAGTAGGAAAGGGTCTCAGTGCTCAGACAGTAAGGACAAAGTGTTTACGCAGGCCTTGTATAACCCCACTCAAGCAGTAGTGGAGTCACGGGTCAGTCGGCTTGGAAAATCACTCTGCTGCCCACTGCACTCTTCCACTCACCCCTTCCTGAGCCACTTCAGCTCTTCCTCAGCCCTGACCTTCACCCCACTTTGGAGAACCTTGTCAGTCCCCAGGGAGCCTCACAGATTTGGTTTTTCTGGGCCAGGCAGAAGAGCTATGAGTTGTTGGTCAAAGCAGGAGAGGATTCAGAGTGAGCTACATTGGACAGGGCTCCAGGCATGCCTTTGCATCAAGAGGGGACATCCTACCCCATGTGTCCTAGTTTGTTTCTTCATTGCTGTGACAAAACACTCTGACCAATACCTACTTGGGGAGGAAAGGGTTTATTTGACTTACATTTCCCGGGTCATAGTTCATCCGGGAGCCCAAGGTAGGAACTCAGGCAGGAACCTGGAGTCAGGAGCTGGAGCACAGGCCATGGAGGAACACTGTTTACTGGCTTGCTCTCCTGGCCCCTACTCAGCCTGCTTTTTTATGCAACAGAGGCCCACCTGCCCAGGGGTGGCACCACCCACAGTGGGCTGGGCTCTCCCACATCACTCAAGAATCAAGAAGATGCCCCATGGACATGGCCACAGGCCAGTCCAATGAAAGCAATTCCCCAGTTGATGCTCCCTCAACTCAGGTGTGTCAAGTTGACACTAAAGCTATCCAGCACAATGTCATGACTGTCTGAGGACTCTATTTCTATTTACCCTAGATAGAGAGGGCAATGGTAGACCAAAGGAATGATTCTATTCAAATCTAGCTGGATGAACCAATGAGTTTATTGGGGTTACTTAAAGTAGCATAGGTGAGGGGTTACTTACAGGAATATGGACAAATTATAGTAGACAACTATATCACTGAAGACTCGCCTCCACCTCCCATCCCCCCCCCTCCCACCCACCCCAGCAATTGTTAACCACTTATGTATCCTTGAGGAGAAAAGGGGCCTGGTAAGCCTTGTGAACCTGGTAAGCCCTCCCCTCTTTCCAGGAGGTTAGGTTAAAGGGTTCAAGTTTGTGGATCTTATAAAGGCCCCATGGGGTTAGTAACAGCTACTCTGATTTCAAGATGCCGAAGGCCATGTCATGCCTGGAGGACAGAGTTCTATAAAGTCTCCTCTGTTGGATCAGTGTCCTGGGTTGGCTAGCCTTCCCATTGCTGTTTGCCTCAATTCCCAGGTTAAGTGGCAATCTGACTCCCCACCTCTGCCCAGAAGAGGTTGATTCTAGTGGGTGATGCCTCACTATACTGAAGAGACCTCAAGGCAGCAGCTGTTGATGTGACTGACAAGCTCCTAAAGCACCTGGTTCCTCTAGCCATATTCCTGAACTGCCCAAAGTATGGTTCTAGGCCTCTCTGTGCCCTCTGTGAGGGCCCATGGCCTTTTCCAGGAAGAGTAGGCACCCAGAGGTATGTGCCCTCTCTCCCTCACTCTCTTATCTCAGCTCATCTGTGACTCATCCTACACATTATTTGTGTCTCCCCTGCCTCCTGGATGAAACGTCCTCCCTTCCTCTGGACTGTTACTTCTTGGCCTTCTTGTGAGTGCCCCAGCCTTGGCTCCTCACTTCAGCCCAAATGACTAGGCTGTATGCACACTTTATTCCCATCTTTCCCCTCCTTGACAGCCTGGCTCCTGATGCCAAAACACTTTGCTCCTGCCTCATCGGCTTCTGTTCTATGTCCATCAGATGTGAAGGCCACTGCTCTGGAGTTTATAGCTGCTTGTACCCACCTGTCATTCTTCTCTCATTGTTTTAGTTTGGCTTCTCTTGCTGTGCTGAAACATTAATCACAAACAACTTGAAAAGGAAAAAGTTTATTTGGCTTACACTGCCACATCACAGTCTGTCATCCAGAGAAGTCAGGGCAGAAACTCAAGCAGGAACCTGGAATCAGGAGCTGAAGCAGAGACCATGGAGGAGTGCTGCTTACTGGCTTGCTGCTCGTGGCTTTCTCAGTTATCCTCCTTATACATCTGAGACCCACCTGCCCAGGACGTCACCACATACAATAGACTGGGCACTCCTGCAGCAATTAATACCACAGGCCAATCCTATGGAGGAAGTTCCTCAACAGGTTCCCTCTTCCAAGGTATCTATAGTTTGTGTCAAGTTGACAGATGCTAACCATCTCACCCATCAACAACCAAATTCTTGATGTCTATTCTTACCCTCTACCAAACTGTTTTGCCAGAGTCACCACATACCTGTTTATGCCACATTCAAGATCAGTGTCCAGTGCTCCCTGGGCACCAAGTGGGAAGGCTCTTGACCCTTGATGTGTCTGATCTGCTAAACGAGTTTTGTGACGAATGAACCTGAAGAGTGCTGTGCCAGTGGTCTCCATCTATAGCTGGAGCATCTGAGCCTCTGCCAGAGCAGCTGCACTGATGGATACAGGGAGTCTATTCCAGTGTCCCTACTGCTACTCCTAGTCTCCTGTTCACAAGCACTGGACTCAGTGCTTCTAGACCATCTCCGAGGGCAAAGCTTATCAGCTGGAGAGAAATGAGGGGTTTTTGGCTAGCAACTTGCTATTGTATACCAGCAGCCTTCAAACTTGTGCTTTTAGGATTTTTCATTTATTTTTGTTTTGTTTTCTTTAGTTTTTCTGATACAGTGTCTTATTGTGTGATTCTGCTGGCCTCTAATTTGTGATCCTTCTGCCTTAGCCTTTTGAGTGTTGTGATTACAGGCATGCACACCTGGCATAGCTGGTACGTCTTTTGATCCATAAATTATATTTCTATAAATATATATTTATATGTTTATATAAATCATGAGATCATGAGACAGAAGAAGGGCTATTTCTAGGACTAGGTAAGCTATAATAACCAGCATAAGTCTGCTTGTAGTTCTCAAGGTGCTAGAAGGTCTCTTCAGGTCTGACACGGCTGCATCTGCCTTCAATGTAGAACCTTGACCACTGCATCCCCTAGAGAGGCAAATGCTGGGTCTCCATGTGACAGGAGGACAGGCTGGCTAAAAGGGCCATGCCAGACCCCCTGAGTCCTTTTATGATACATTAGTTAGGTGATAAGGGTGAAGGCCATAGCCTAATCACCTTCCAAAAGCCCCATCACCCAATACTGTTACAGTGAGGATTGATTTTTCAACACTGAAATTTAAAGGAGAATATATGCCTAAAACCATAGCAGTATTATTATGGCATTGTTCAGTGTTTCAACTCAAAATACTTGGCACATTCAACCATTGCAGACACTATAGTCCTGTGCAATAAATGGAGTGCCTGAAATCTTACTCATAAAGTGAAACAGTCAGGAATTTGGTGACTATTACCTAAACCTAAGTGCAGTAACATAGAAAAATACTTGCTATGTAATGCTAAGTGCAAAAAAGGGGAAAAACATGAACAGTTTGGTCCTGTTTTTGTAAAAAGATACAGTGATAGCAATTAGACAACAGGCTGAATACCTCTGACCTTGATAAAATGCTAAGATTAAGATAATATATATCAGAACCAAGTAGAGTGGGATGGCTGTTCTCTCCTGCCTGGTGATAGATATGCCCAACTTGATGGTGGTTAATGTGTATGCTCCCCCTCCATTTAGGTCTCGTTCCTGAGCCTAGGGGTTCCTTGGTTGACCCTGAATCCTGCCTGTGCAGATCATGACAAACACCCTGACCATTCTAAAGGACTCACCATGCTCACTCACTTCTGAGCTTACACATGGACTTGCTTCTTGGGGTTGACAACAATGAATTAAATATGGGGAAGCTAGAATTTCCAGTCTGTGCCGTACCAGGCACCCAGTTCTGGTGAGGAATTGCCTGTGCATTCAATTCCATGAGAACTTGCAAGTGTGTCTCCAGTCAAAACCAGGGATAGCCCCATAGTCAGTAGCTAGGGACCTGCCTGTGCTCAAGCTGTACATGGACAGTCGGCAGCAGCGACAACAGCTCCATATAAAGAGCTGTCTGGATTAATGCTGTTCAAGGACCCCCATTTCAGGCTGAGCTGCTGTGTGTATGTCCTGCAGGCACGCCAGCTTGTTCAGTCCTATTGGGGGCAGGATCCATTGAAATGACAGCCAGGAGTGCTGGGTGCCCCTACAAGGGCATGAGGGGAGCTGAACAAAAAGTAGGTCACATGTGCCTGGGCCATGTCACGCGGTTCCCACCCCAGGC